GGGTAGAGTTTGCAACTCTTGATCTCAGGGCTGTGAGTTCAGGCTCCATGTTGGGTATAGAGATTACTTACAAAAATAATCTTTAAAAAAAATGTTATACAGAGACAGGTAGTATCAGAAAGAATGAGATGTCCATGATAACTGGCTCTACATAACATCAAAGCAATAGTGAAAAGAGAAAAGTTCAGGTAATCAATTATTTTCTCAGCACTATATTAAAAACATATTCTAACGACTTTTTTAAAAACTTAATCAATTGGTTTGGACATCTTGGATAAACATTGCTTTTATGTACTCACATTTCTTAACTTTTTAGTTCTACAACAATTCAGCTAATACAGAACTATTATCCCCCACCCTAACTCAAATCCTCATTCTAGCCTATGAAGTTGCACAATTTCAAACCATGACGCATTAAGTAGATGTTTATGTACCTAGAAGAACAAAATCTGATTTTAAAATCACTTCAGCCTACTTATCAAGTGTTTAAATTCTACAAGATTATTTATTTGCATTTGAAATTTTAATATTCATTTTGCAAAACACCTAATTTCAAAAAAATTGAACACTTAACTTTAAGGCAAAAAATAAAAGCTACACAGCTTATGACTTTCAAATTCTCCATACATAACTTCATCCCACCCCCTCCATACACATTCCCTTATTAGAGATTGAAATTTAACCAGGTCAGTTCTGGTCTCAAACAACAATCATATGATTTCAAGTAGATATCTTCAGAGCTAGATTGAATCATTTGCTAAACTCCAATATTTTAAATTTATAAACTTCAGAAGGAAGACAGCTTTTGAAGCTGACAAAAAAACAATCAGAGAACAGCAGTCTTTTTGTGTGCTGCCCAGAAAGTCAGTTACAAAGTGGTCCTATTGTGTTTCTCATAATTTACATTTACTTTTTTGGCAGAGCAGAAAGGAAAAAAATAAGAAGTCAAACTTAGAGGCATACAACAAAAATGAAAGAAGGCATTTTTATTTTAAAATGTCCCCTTGACATTTAGACATCCACAAACCCAATATTTAACATTTACAGGAGATAAAACAGCAAAAAAAAAAAAATAGCAGCTGTTTTTCTGTGATGGCATTGAACAGGTGTGATAGCATTTCATACCACAGAAATTGGATGGGTCTCTTGTTGATGCCCATAGGAGGCCCATATGGAACCAGTATTGACCTATGTCTCATTTCCTTGAATTGGCCAGAAGATAACCCAGACCAACAAGAGTTCTGATGACTGATCTGTGCCGATTCAGAGCAGACATTCTCCCAAACAGATCAATACTATCCAAGGTGCAGCTGAAAAACAGGATGAGCTTGTATCATTAAACAAACACCAAGCTGCTTATTCACAAGGGCAAAAGCAACACAGCATTTGTGTTTTCCACAGTGTGTTTGCTAGTGACCTCAACCCTGACCTGCAGGGCCACCCTCACTGGGGCGAGAAGTAATCCTGTATTGGGTCCGCCTCTAGTACTGGAGCACTCTTATGAGAGGTGACATTTTTTTCTTTTTTTTTTTTTTTTTTACAAGGAGAGCTCCTGTGTCTGTTTTGGCCAGCCTAGACAATTACATGATGCCAAAGCAACTAGTCAATGCACTTGATTTTGTCAAATGACCAGTCCGAGTATTTGGCATTACGTAGACAAAAAATAAAATGGAAACAGAATGTTTACTTCTTACCCATCATACAGAATTGTGTAGACACACCTTGGATTAAATGAATTTAGAAAGTGTTTACTACACCAGTTGTCTCTCTATGTATAAATTAACTACCTACATAAACCAAATACTTTTGCTCAAAAATCCAGATAAATATTTTTATTAAACCCCCAAAACTGACTCTATTACAAGTTTTATTTAGTCACATAGATCCCCCAAAAAAGCCATATTGCATATAACTGTTATGCTCTCTTTATATTAACATACTGTATATGTACATGTAATTGAACAAGTTAAATCTAATGAGAACATGCAAGTGACATCACCATTTTCACTGTTATATGTTATAAAATATGAAGAAATGATGGTCTCTAGAATCACCTTTCCAAAAGGATGGGGAAAATAAACCATGGATTAAAATGTTATCTTATACTCCTCTAAGCAAGATGACTTCATATATGGCCAACCACAAGTAACATTTTAATGTTTTGTATGGTCCTAGGCTATAAAATCTAACTGCAATTAGATTTTCCAAGCTTTAAGAGACTAGAGTAGATTTGGGAACAATAAATGTCTTTAAACAGGGGACAAATACAAATTCGTGTAATTACTTTTGGGTCTTAAAATTTTTCAATGGCTATTGGTAAAGCACCGCCATAAGATCCAACCATCCACCATCCAAGATCTTTTATGTATTTAGAATATCTAACTAATTTTCCAATTCTAGATACATGGTTTGATAAACCTAGCTAAAACAAAAGCTGTGTCTCTTGCTGCTATTAAGACAAATTTTTACACACACACAAAAGTCAAATAACAGTAATTGTTAGCTTTCCCCTTTCTTCCGGCTGTTATCCTTGGGAAAAAAGACTTGCAGGGAAGGAAGCAAAGTTTCCCTCCAGCACTTTACTATATATAAGCACTATATCCACCTCCCTGAATAAAGAAGAAATAAATGCAACTTTGGAACTCTGCCATTGAGGGGCAGCTCCCGCAATGGGGACAGTTTGCTATTAATTGTTAATGTCGTCTGCCATTAGAGGGCACTAAACAACTCTACATTAATGCTGCGTTGGAGGGAAGAAAGAAAGGAAGACGGGAAAGAAAGAGGGGAGGGGGGTTTGAGCAGACTCGGGGACGAGGGAGGGAAAGAGAAAAGAGAAGGAGTGGGCGGACGGGAGGGAAGGCGAGAAGAGGGAGGAGAGAGAGAGAGAAAGAATAAATCTGGAAATATTAAGAAGGATGTGGAGACCCCAGAGCCGTCTGAAGTCAGCAGAAAGCCAGCCTCCCACCCCCAGACCGCCCGCACCCCTCCTCTCCCGTCCTCGGGACGGTAATTATAAAGCGAAAAGCAGCGGCGAGGTCACCCGTTTTTACCAGCCTGCTGCACCGAATGCGCGCGGTGCAGGTGCGGCGGCCGCGGGGCTTTGTGATTCATGCCCACTTTCAAAGGGGGGCTTGGGCCCGTCTGAGAGGCACCCAAACAACTGTCTTCTAATATTAGCACGGCTGTATTTCGGGATCTATTATAGTCTGTCCAGACAGATCCCATTGTAATGGGATCTTTTATTAAAAGATTAGCACTATCTCCTGCAGTTGGTGGAAAAAAATCTGTTATCACTGAGTTATTTGCAGTTGTGGAAAGGGGGGGGGTGATGTTAGGTGGGGGGAAGGCGAAAGCAGGAATGGGGGGGCAGTCTGGCGGGGGGAGGCTTGAGGGAGGGCGAAGAGGGGCGGATTTGAAATCCGTGGAAGAACAAATCCCAGTGACCTGCGAATGTCCAAGAATTTTGTCTGCATACTTCGCTGTCTGTTGTCCTTCGGGCTCCAGAAGCGAAAAGAATGGAAATTTAAAAGGCAGCTTTGGAATAAACAATATAGCATTTTCCGTGAAGTAATCGTTTTATATAAAAGGAAATATCGCCTCCTCAGTTTCATTCAGCAGTGCCAAAAATGTTATAAATGAGAGACCCGCCAACTTTCAGCGAAGAATGCCAGGCACTGTGCTTAATAAACTGAGGCTACAGAAGTTCATTATCGATGTTGCAATCTTTTTTATTCCGCGAACCGAGAGAGACAGAGAGAGAGAGAGAGAGAGAGAGACAGAGACAGAGAGAGGGAGAGGGAGAGAGAGAGAGGGAGAGCGAGCGAGCTGAGAAGGAGACTGAGAGAGACAGACAGGCACACAGGACAGAAACTGGGGAGTCTCCGAGCCGGGAAGGGGGGGCAGACCGCCTACGTCGGCGCCCCCGCTCCAGGCTCCGACTCCAGACGCCGCGAAGTGAAAGGGGAGAAAAGAAAGGGAGAGGGCGAGACTGTGACGGGGGGGGGAGGCCGGGCCCGAGGTGTTAAACATTTTTGTTTGCTTGTGACTCGTCGAGACCGAGGGCCGCGTCTCGGCCCCGCTCAGCCAAGGTGGAAGGCGCCGGCGCTGGGGTTCTTAGCCCCAACTCCGGACGGGGGGTGGCCGCACAGTCAAGCACGCACAGACCCAGACACAAAACCTCGCCGGTCCCGCGCCCAGGCTGCGGGGGCCTAAAACTGCCGCGCGCCCCGGCGGAGCGGCGGGGCCAGCGCGCTCCGACCCGGCCGCCACCCGGGTATTTCAGCAGCTCCGGGCTCTCTGGGCGTTTGCAAAGTCTTTCTGGAGCGGAGGAGCGGGAGGAGAGACAAACTCCCGGGTTCCCCCCCACCACCACCACAGCTCCGCTCCGCCCGCCGCCGCCGCCGCCTCCTCCTCCAGCGCCCCCACCGCGCCCCCCTGCATACACACACACACACACACACACACACACACACACACACACACACTCACACACTCACACACTCACACAGACACGCCACCCCGGACGCGCCGGCGTTGCCTGCGAGCGGCGGCGTGCAGGACTTGAAGTGGGTGTTCTTCCCCACTCCCCACCCCCGAAGCGTCGCCCCCACCCCCCGCCCAGCCGCCTTCCCCCTCCCTCTCCCTCCTACGCAAATAAGAACTCGGCGATTCCCCTCCTGCCGCTTTGATTTCGGGCACCTCCAACAGATAATTGGGAAGGGTTTCCAGAAGGTGGGAAATGTCACCTGATTCACACTGAACTTTTAAAAGCTCCCCACCCCCAAGGAGCCGCGCACACCCTTGCTCGCGGCCGCCCTCCCACTGCCCCACACACTGGGAGACCGCCCACCGCAAACCGCGGAGACCCCCGTCTAGATTTAAAGCGCGGCTGCGCCCGGCTTCTGACGTCCATTGAATCGCGCGGGCGGCCGGCGGCGAGCGCGGGGCTGCGCCGGGATCGCTGCGCCCTCCGCCGCTCGCCTTTGCGACGCGCGCCGCTCGCCCGAGCCACCCGCCGCCGCGCCCGCTCCCCGCGCCGCCGCACTCCTCGCCCCGCGTCTGCCCCCACGATGGTCGGGCCCAGGCACCAGCCCGGCGGGCTGTGCCTCCTGCTGCTGCTGCTCTGCCAGTTCATGGAGGACCGCAGCGCCCAGGGTAAGCGAGGGGGGATGCGCTGGGAGGCTCGGCTGCGGGCAGGGGTTTGTACTTTACTGTCGTCTGCACCGGGTCTGTTCTAAGCAACGCTGCTCTCGGAGGATTTTGGACCAACTTAGCGACTCCGGGATGGAGTGGAGTGGGAAAACTGAAGGCAGTGACACTTTCGGACTGCCAGCCGAGTTGGGAGCGCGGTTATCCTTTAAAAGGAAAGGGAGTAAGCTGGAGCCTCTCTCAGTAGTTAGGGTTAGATGCTCCAAGTTCTGGACATAATGAGTTTAGATGTTATCTCCCCTATTTTGGCTCTGAAGAAGGGGACAGGCATCAGTAGCCTGGAGATTTCAGTCGATCCATTTGCACTGTAACCTCTTTCCCTCCCACATCTTTTGGATACTTTAAAAAATGACTGGGGGATGGGGGTAGATACTGAAATTTCTTCAGTGGCCGGGGGACGTGGTTTCAGCAACTTTGCCCAAACTTGGAGATGTGGGTGCTGAAAATTTTAGAGTGAAGTGGTTTTCTGCCTAGTGGATGCTTCTTCCAACCCCTTCCCCCCCAACCCCGCAAAAAAAAAAAAAAAAAAAAAATTTACCCCGGAGTGTTTTGAGTAGTTCACAATTTTTTTTTTTTTCTCTGTGCCTCATTCCTCCGACTAACTTTATGGAGAACAGCGAGGAAGGACCTCACAACTTCTTTAATTTCTGAGATGCATTAAGAGCAAATTTCTAAAGTTTGGGGGTTTTTTTTTAATCAAATTTATTTCAGTGAGTCTTCGGGCACAATTTTTAAAAATAATAATAATAGCAGCTTGCGGTCCAATGATCGTTCAAATTGTATTGATGGTTCCTAAGAAGACTTCCTGACCCAAACGCGAACCTGGGAAGGCGGGGGAGGGGGGGCGGGGAAAGTACTTGCAAAGATTTCTCTCGGTAGGTATGAGCTAGGTATATGTTGCCGTGAGATAATAGGAAGCCGCCCCCTCCCCTGTTCTTTTTTCCTCTACACTTTTCTGGAGACAGACGTGTAACTTTCTTTAGCGTTACCGTTTTGAGTGTGTTGTGAGCTGTCCCCCTGGGCACTGCCCCCTCGCCGCCCTCACCTTTCGGGGCGAGGCGCTGCCTGGGTGCCGCGGACGTGGGCGCCGAGAAAAGCTGCCCTCGGAGATTTCGAAAGACCGCGGTGGCCGCGGGCGTCCTCTGGGTCTGCCGGATTGCAAAACGGGCCGGGCGGGCGGGCTGCGCCTCGAGGCCGCGCGGGGCAGCTCCGGGCAGGGCCCGGCTGCTTTTTTGCTTTCATTTTTCACAAGTGCCTTTTGCTGGATCTGTTCCTGTTGTGTGTGTCTGTGTCGGTCTCTCCCTCTCTCAAGTTCTCCTACTCTCTTAACCTCTGTCACAAATAATACTCGTACCGCCTACATGAAACCAACATGTAAAAACATCCGTCGCATCCTGTTTTTGTCAGGTTCTTTAATCTGCTCTTCGAGTCGCTGCAGGTTATGAAATGGGACGAATAAAAGTAAACAGTCTAGTAAAAGTCAATGCAAGCTGCACGTGTTGTGTCTGGGTCACTGGTAACTGACATTGATATGGCTGGGGCGCTCTGGCTTCTCGCTCTCCTTCCCCCTCACCCACCTCCCACCTCTTCAACCGTCTCCCCCGCCCCCCTTTCCCCACCCCTTCACTCCCTTCCATTTATTTTCTGCTTTTCTCTCCCATGTCTCTCTACTCCTCCACAGTCACTCCCGCCCCATCCCCGCTGGGTCTCCTCCTTCCCTCGCAAGCTCGCCACCTCGCCCCCTCCCTCCCCCTACTCCGCCTCTCCTCTCGCTCACCCACCTCCCCACCCCTGTCTCCTCGCAGCTGGGAATTGCTGGCTCCGCCAAGCGAAGAACGGCCGCTGCCAGGTCCTGTACAAGACCGAACTGAGCAAGGAGGAGTGCTGCAGCACCGGCCGCCTGAGCACCTCGTGGACCGAGGAGGATGTAAATGACAACACGCTCTTCAAGTGGATGATTTTCAACGGGGGCGCCCCCAACTGCATCCCCTGTAAAGGTAGGACTCTTCCTCCCCAGTTTCCAGGCCCTCGGTAGAGGGCGTCTTATCCTCACCTTCCCCGTGGCCCAGCTGGGGGGGTGCGTTCGTGGGTTCCCTCTGTCTTCCCGCAGTCCCGGGAAGACTTTCGGGTTGAATCTTGCCTGGTACACGCTGCCGGCAAAACATGGTTGCCAGAGGTTCCTGGACTTAACTGGCCAAGTGTGGTGGTGGAGCCAACCAACTCGCACGCTTTGAGAGAGATTTGAGTATAGGGTGCCGACCACCGACCCCACCCCCATCCCCACCCCCTCCTCAACTACTAGGAGAGAGCTGGACCCCTCTGGCGGGAACTCTTGGCCACAGGGTGGGTCCTGCAAGGCCTCCACAGCCCTCCTGGCTGACTTGCATACTGCCTGGCCCTGCTTTGATCCATCCCTCTTTCCAACCCTTAGAAACATGTGAGAACGTGGACTGTGGACCCGGGAAAAAGTGCCGAATGAACAAGAAGAACAAACCCCGCTGCGTCTGCGCCCCAGACTGTTCCAACATCACCTGGAAAGGGCCAGTCTGCGGGCTGGATGGGAAAACCTACCGCAACGAATGTGCACTCCTCAAGGCCAGATGTAAAGAGCAGCCGGAACTGGAAGTCCAGTACCAGGGCAAATGTAAAAGTAGGTCCTCCCTGGTTCCCCCCCCCCCCCCCAGCTTTCCACCTGAGGTGGACCCACTGGAAGACCCCTGGGGTGTGGTATTGTCCACCCTAAGAGCCCAATAATGATGATGATGCAAAACAAAACAGACTTTTTTAATGTTCTGAAGACTTCTTAAGAACTCAGACGGGACCAACCTAGGGTCATAGATTTTCTCTTGAAACCACTGGGTTCCCAAAGTGCTTGTTGAAAAGCTGGGTGCTTCCTTTTATGATTTCCTTGATAATATCAAATGCTCACTCCCGAACAGCCAGGAAGTGCCTATTATTAATGTGTATTTCTTTCCTTCTTTATTTCAGAGACGTGTCGGGATGTTTTCTGTCCAGGCAGCTCCACGTGCGTGGTGGACCAGACTAACAATGCTTACTGTGTGACGTGTAACCGGATTTGCCCAGAGCCCACCTCCTCTGAACAGTATCTCTGTGGGAATGATGGTGTGACCTACTCCAGTGCCTGTCACCTGAGGAAGGCTACCTGCCTACTGGGCAGATCGATTGGATTAGCCTATGAGGGAAAGTGTATCAGTAGGTATTCTGGATTAAGGAAGGAAAAGTGGAAACATGGTCAGAAAGGCTTGTTCTACTGGTAAAGCTGTGAGGTCAATCAAATAAGCCCAAATTTGCCCCATAATGCATAGTTTCACTGAAGGGGGAACTAGTCTCCAGTTTGGGTAAACTGTGGTAACCACAGCATTCCTCAAGGAAACAGTTATCTTCTGGAAGCATTGGCATATATGTTGAAATGCCAGCAAGAAATGGGAAACAACTTTCTGTCTGGGAAAACTTAGAATTCACTCAATTTTACACATTTTTTAGGTGCTAGACTTGCTGTAAGCAAGAAATAATTGCTTCACAGTTACTGAAAATCTGTTATCAGATTCTAATACTGATGGAATTCTTTATTTTTCAAAAGATTTCACTTGAGGGAAATAATGAAATCCTTATTTAATTCCAGGATACCGTGATAACCTGTTCCCCCAAAATACTATTTTTGTGTACTAGTAGGGAGTGTAGGGACCGTGTGTGTTTAAGTTTCAGTTTTATTATCAAGCATTTTTGCATGAGATCTCCATTATCCTGTTAGCAAACCATAAGCTATATGTTTGTCTTTACTGACAGAGGACTAAAGAAAGGGAAAGACAGGGAGAGGAGGGAAAGCAATTTACTCATCACAGGTGTATTATATCCTAGAAGCAAAGTCCTGTGAAGATATCCAGTGCACTGGTGGAAAAAAGTGTTTATGGGATTTCAAGGTTGGCAGAGGCCGGTGTTCCCTCTGCGATGAGCTGTGCCCCGAGAGTAAGTCCGAGGAGCCTGTCTGTGCCAGTGACAATGCCACTTACGCCAGTGAGTGTGCCATGAAGGAGGCTGCCTGTTCCTCAGGTGTGCTGCTGGAAGTCAAGCACTCCGGATCTTGCAACTGTAAGTACAGTTTCTAACCTTCACCGCAATATGAGGCCTTCCCAGGCAAGCCCTAGGGAACGGAGACCTCAAAAGCACGAAAACCTTCCAACATAAGCCCATTTCTGTTTAAATTGGGTAGCTGCTAGGGGCACCTGGGTGGCTCAGTCGGTTAAGAGACTGACTTTGGCTCAGGTCATGATCTCACAGCTCGTGGGTTCGTGGGTTCGAGCCCCGCATGGGGCTCTAACAGCTCAGAGCCTGGAGCCTGCTTCCGAATCTGTGTCTCCCTCACTCTCTGTCCCTCCCCCGCTCACACTCTGTCTCTGTCTCTCAAAAATAAACGTTAAAAAAAAAAATTTAAATTAGGTAGCTGCTAAATTGCACCAGCAATCCAGTGGTCCACAGAAAAATTCCCTGGAATGTTTCCCGACGTTAGGACTTGTCCAATGATCATCAACGGGCTTGCCTCTAAAAACCTAGCTCTAGTCATTTGCCCTTAATTCTTTTGCTGTAGTAATGTGCTTGGCCGTTTGCTTTATTAACACTTGAATCTAAACTAACTGCTTCAAAAGTTTTTTGTTTTTTTTTTCTTTTTCAAAGACAGCTGTATATTATCACACATGGGCTGCTGCTTTTCGCAGTTGCCTCTACTAACTCTGAATTAAGGACCCAAAGCAGTTATACCTAGAACACGAGCGCTTTTTATCTAATTTCAGGAATCTGCCCGTAAAACCTGAGCCATTGATTCTTCAGAACTTTCTGCAGTTTTTGACTTCATAGATAATGTTTAAAAAAAATGTTTTTTAAACTTATTGCATAACAGCAGATGCCAAAAACAAAGCATCTTACTGCAAGTCACATAAAAATGCAACGCTGTAATATGGCTGTCTCAGAGGGCTTTGAAAACATACACTGAGCTGCTTCTGCGCTGTTGTTGTCCATATTTAAACAACAGCTCCCCTGTATTCCCCCATCTAGCCATTTCGGAAGACACCGAGGAGGAAGAGGAAGATGAAGACCAGGACTACAGCTTTCCTATATCTTCCATTCTAGAGTGGTAAACCCTCCACCAATGTTCAGTGTTGATATAGCCTTTGGGCAAAAAAAAAAAAAAAAAAAAAAAAAAAAAAA